GAAGAATTTATGAGAGAAGAAAGGTTCATATTTAGAGGAGATAGGAAGTACAGAGAGATATATATATAGAGAGAGAGCACAAAATAGAGAGAGGAGACATGCCAAATTCGTTGAAACCCCTCCTGCACTGAGATAGTCTCATATATTCTAATGGATTTGATATCAGCCCTTGGTTGAAATTAATCTGATCCGTCCACGTCGCTAACAACTTTTAAACTCTTCTTTTACTAGTTTACCCTCGGCACATTACCTACATTCAGTAGTTGTATCTTATTTGATGTTTGAAAATAGCTACATAAATGCATATTTGTGATATACTGTTATTTCTGGTGTTAGTTGTATAATATTGTTTTGAGAGTAAATGGGTTCTTTGAGGATGAACTTAGTAGTAGAATTGTGATTCTATTTTCTCTGAGATTACTCATATTGGAATCTTTCTGCTTATTGAGTTTTTCATCTTTTTTGTGTATTCCATACGTGAATGTGATTATTGTCCGACAATAGTAATAGAACATAAAAGATTTTTAGTGCAGTCAAGGCATTTGATGATATGACTGAAACAAGTGAATTTTTTTTATCCTTTTCTGTTACCATAGGTATTCTGCAATATACACAACTATCATTCATTAAACCAAAAGGTAGCGTATTTACTTCTAAAAAATTAGTAAATATTTTTTTGCTTTTATTTCAGAATTTAATCTTCATATCACTACGGATTAAATACCTAGATCTCAAAAGAAGAAACTGACGATGACTCTAATTACATGGTGTTAGGAGCTTCAAGTTATCTCTTGTTAATATTTATTAATTAGGATAGATTCTCTTCGTGCATCTTATTAAAAAAAGGCTCTTTTGTGATATACTTGGTTTACTCATCATCTCTGTAGATACTGTTAGTAGTTGATGCTTTTGAATGAATTAATCAACTGTAGAAATTGAAAAACAACTTAAAGAGAATGAATCTGAACCATAGAAGAAGAGATGAATGGAGCTTGGAATAGGATGGGCTTGCTGGTACCAGCTTCCTGAACGAGATATTTCTTTCTTTCTTTTAGTAGCAATTCAGATGCTGATGCTGATGCTGATGCTGGGGAAGGCTTATAATAGGCACTGATGGTATGTGGAATGCTTTATCATCGGATTTTGCAGCATAGTCTTGCAGAGCTTTACCAAAAAAACTTGTTGCAAAGATAGTTGTGAATGTGTGGAGTAGGTTACCAAGTTTAAAAGTGTCAATCAATTAAGTGACTTGCTCAAATCAATTTACTATCATAGTGCGGAATTTTTTTTTATGTCACATTATTTGGATTGTCCTATAATAACTTAGGTTAATTCATCAAGCGTTAGAGGCCTGACGTTGATGGTGATTCACTAGAAGCTCTCCTTTTATTTAGTTTCTACTACGTAAAGGGCTTTATCAGCATCCCTTGACTTTCACTACCAAAATATGAAGGAATTATGGTATTTATGAGAGCAAGAAAAAAAATGTCATAAATAGGTGAAATTTCTTTACTAAAAGAGCTATACTTGAAGCTAGAGTAATTAACTTAGCATCAAATTTGTGCGGAGCATTATATATTTTGAACGGGTGATTATGTGATTTCACATGTACGCAATATGTTACAGATAAAAAATGACCAACATCAAATATGAAATCACATGTAAAATATTATGTTATGATAGAAATTGACTTAACATTGAAGTCTCTGGTATTCCAGAAACTTCTAAGCAATAACTTCAAAAGTTGTGCTACAGGTTTTTGTGGTACCTTAAGTTATTCTAAGGAGTTCTTCATTCGTTATTTTATTTTGCTACTTGAATTTTATTGACAAAAACGTAATTATTTAATTCAATCATGTTTTACCATAGTTCAACCTTAATTCAAGCCAACTCAATTGTCTATGTCTTGAAATTGCAGGTGTTAATTGCCTAGATTTTATGACTATGTTTGACTTTTTTTATCCGCATATAGCTAAAACACCTAAATTAGTTGGGATGGAGAAGGGCTATAGGGTTCTCTTCATGGTTAGATGATATTGAAGCATAAGTAAAAAGGTTTGCAGGGGGGTTATTAAGGGTGTGCGTGAAGACAAGGTCGTTGTTTTTAATCATGTCATGGATCTCGGTGGTGTTTTATTACTCCTACATGGGGAGACTTTTGAAGGCTAAAGCTCTAAATGGTTCTAGCATACGCAGATATATGTCCAGCGAGAAGATAATATAGATCAACCCACACAACCCCATCATGAATGAGAGCAAGCAATTCTACCATTCATGGACTGTGGATGGTTATCCTTACTGATGTAGACAACAAAATAAGTTAGTTACGAAGAAAAGCTATGATATGTCTATCGGGGAATTTTCCTGATGCTGCTTGTGACTACTTTTCTAACCTTAGCTTTCCGCTTTAATTGTCCTACGCCTATGTGAATAGAATTATATGACTCTGAAATTTGGCTGAGTTTTGATGAGGATCTAGAGATGCTGATGTTGTTCCTTTAACGTTTGAGATAATATATCTTTGTGCCTTTTCAAAAAATAATGTAACTTTGTTGAAAACACCAATAAGGTTAATTCTTTGGGAAGAAGTAAAAAGGAAATATCCAGAAAAAAAAATGCAGAATCAATTGATGTATCTATTAGTTGGTATGTATAAACTCTCGCTTTAGATATGAGAATTTAGCAGGGACTGGCCAAGGCCGATATTTTTCAACCTTAATGCTTATTTTTTTTGTCATCGACTCAGCCTCAGGTAGGTTTTGTTTCCTTTTGCTTCGTATCTAGAACTATGCTTAAATCACCACAGATTTAAGTTAGATCTATATTCGCATGAATTGAAATGTTTAAGCTGCATTGTTGGGACGGTGTTGGTCACGGGCCATACAAATCTAGTAGTAAATAAATTAAAAGGAGCAGTTCTATAGTTCATCTCATCACCTCAACATGCAATATTGATCCCTTTCAACTAAGCCGATTTTTTGTTATTGTAGTCCAAGTAAGAACGGTTTCTTTAAATCTTCGTTTCTCTTTCATCCCTATCTTTTCCGTCTTAAGTAATCATACAACAAACGACGACGACGACGACCCAGTATAATCCCACAAGTGGGGTCTGGGGAGGGTAATATGTACGCAGACTTTACCCCTACCCCGAAGGGTAGAGAGACTGTTTCCAGGAGACCCTCGGCTCAAAAAGCAATAGGAGATGATATATTAGTACCATAAAAATGCGTATTAAAAATAACAACAATATATAAGAGATATGAAATATGAAATACAGAATACGAAATACGAAATACGAAATAGATGGCTGGTATAATACAACTAGAAGGTAAAGCCCTGCGTCAATAGACGACCAATGACATTTCTAGTCTAACTCCTAACTGGATAGTCTCACTCTATTGTGCTGTAGAAATATTCACACTCTCCCCTAACCTACAACCTTAATGCTCGACCTCCATAATTCCCTATCAAGGGTCATGTCTTAAGTAATCATAGGGGTGCCACAATAGATCTATTTTGTGCTAACCCGCTCAAACCTATCCAAATTTAACGAGTTGAGTTCTGACCCGTCTGTTGACCTGGCCTAAGGGGCTAGAACTCGAAATGACCCATCAAATTACTGGATTAAAAATGATGAAAATAGTGCAACCCAGTGGATTAAAATGGAACCTAAACCCAAACAGGTTTCATCATAATTAAACTTGAAAATTAAAAGTTGGAGTATGTTAATTTGGAAGAGCTTAACTAATTAATTTTAGAGAGAAAAAAACAAAGTGAAAAAGCAGCAAAAATTAGGTCATATTGGAAGGATGGGTTTATGACCCGTAATTTGACCTATTTTAGTCTAATTCATTTTTTTGATTCAAGCAAACTCTTAGTGAGTTGGGTCATGACCTGTTTGATGATTTGACCCATTTGACTTACCCGAATTTACCCAACTCGCACATTTAACACCTCTAAAGAATTACTAATATTTACTTTTTGTGACCTATAACTCACCAGAGCTTGGCCAAGTCTACCATTCCAACCACTAGGTAAGCTTCCATATCTGAAAGAAGCCAACTCAGTCTTAGTTGCCTTGCCAAGTATGATAGCCCCAACTTTCCTCAACTTCTTGACTACACCAGCATCTTGTGGTACAATGGATACAAGAAGAGCTAAAGATCCAGCTGTTGAGTTAAGCTTATCCGTAGTTGCAACATTATCCTTATGAACTGGGATACCATGCAGAGGCGGATCTAGGATTTCGAGAATATGGGTGCACCACTAAAAAAAGGAGGAGAAATAATTAAGTATTGAACCAAGTGCACCATTCAACCTTTATAAAGCATGGGTGCTAATACATAATACTGGACAAATTCTAAAAAATACCTACATAAAAAATACCTAATTTGGCAGAGGGAGCATGGTTTGACGTGCCCCGTATGCTATGGATAGCAGAGACCATGATAGCAGAGACGGATGCTATGGATTCGCCCTTGATACCATGTAGCCTGGATAGCATAGACGGATCCAAAATTTCAATTTGAAGGGTTCAATCTTTATGTTTTTACCCCTGAACCCATTACACATTAAAAATTATGGGTTCATAACATAATATTTATTGAGATTTTGATGATATTTTACATATCATCTGAGTCACGTATTAAAGTTATGAGTTCAATTGAACTCGTAGCTCATGAGCTACATCCGCTTCTGCTGGATAATGATTTTGGCATCTTCGCTTTCGTTCTTGGTCAGCTTTATCTGCAAGTAGGAGTGTCGAATCGATTGAATTTAGACACGTCAAAATGGACAGAATCAATAAATGTTGACTAGTCATTAACCCATCCAAAAGTTACTTGACTCATACCTGCTAGAGATAGTGCATCTGGATTCACTTCTATGATTCCTTTAAGAACTGGATTAGCTCTTTGAATTTGGCCTAGATAGTACTCAACAAGTTGCCTTGAGCTCAGTCTGTTTTGCTTGAAAGCTATTTGAATATCATTGACAGTTATTTCCTTAAATGAGAAATTGAAGTTGAACAATATCATGCACAGACAAATGAATAGAGCCACAAAAAGGAAGCAGAAGACAATCCTTGCCATTAGTCATTATCCTGAAGCACATAGCAATAACAACCAAGAAAAAAAATAATACAACCAAGACAGGAGAAAAAACGACATTTGGAAAGTACGTATACACCCTGACACTGTTACAGAACAGTAACTTTTTTCATTCTGCGATTGAGACGGCAGGGATATGGGGCATTTGATCATTTCTTTTGCTATAGGATAATGGTTAAGAGATTCCACAAATCATGTGTTATTTCTATTTAAAAAGAGTTCTTGCATGCTTGGTAAAACTGCAGATATATATAGATAATATTACTTGAGATGTGGATACATTTTAGATTGAAATTGAATATGTAATTCCTAGCGAGGATGTGAAGGAGGGGGCTTCCTGATATGAGTTGCTTGTTCAAAGCCATATGCAATCTCAATGAGTGTAGGTTCAGAACCCTTTAGTCCTCCAAAGGAAATCCCAAATGGAACTCCATTTTTATCATAACCAGCAGGTACATTGATCCCTGGATAACCACCAATTGCGAGAAGACCAGCAATGTTTGCACCAGGTGACATCAAAGCATCTAATTTATTATCTTTCATCATTTTCTCAAACCCATATTTACATGCTTTTGTTATGTTCTTCAGTGCCTCCCTTTCCAATTTCCCAATTCCATTTGTCTTCTCAGCTTCCAACATAGTATCTTGACCAAATTTTTTGACGTTTTCCTACATTAACACCAAAAAAGAATGAAAACACGATATATTTCCATTCTACTTCTAGTGATGATACCTAGTAAATTAATTTTGATTACAATGTATGACATATCTTTTACTTCGGAGAGTTTCAATCACGACTCATGTGACTAACATGTTAAGTCATATGAGGATTTTTTGCCTTTTTGGAGAATGGAGGGTAAGGCGATAATGTTTTTGAGTAAATATTTGCATACATTATGTGGAGTAACAAAGAATAGAACTATGCTAGGTTCAAAATCTGAAACAAAGACTACCAATGAGTTAACCTGTTATATCTGTAGGAGTCTATTAGTGGAGAGATAAAAAGACCTTATACCTAAGTTTTTTTGAAACTTAATGTGAGTATTTTACATATCATTCAGAAACAAAATCAGTGTTAGCCAATATGGAAAGATGGTGAGAGCAGCTAGCAACATATCCACATAATGAATGTGGTAGGGATACGATATTAAGATGAATACACGGTCACATAAGATCAAATAAGATTAGAAATGATTACATCAAAGAGAGGGTGCAATAGAGAGAAGGTCGTCTAAGATGGTTTAATAGAAATAAACCAAAAATCTCCTAAAAAATGTTGTAGAGTTAAACCAAAATCATATAGAGGAAACTGGGAAGTTGTCTTAAACGACCAAAAATCTCCTAAAAAATGATGTAGAGTTAGCTAAGAACAAGGGACTCATATAGGCGATATTGGAATGGTTGGATTAAACCATAGTTGAGGTTGTTGCCCTTATCTCAGGTCTAGTGTATACGATGAGTCTTTTAGTTTGCTTAGAGACTTGAACTCCACTATAAGAATAGTGAGGAATTTAAAAGGAAAATGTCTAGTTTAAAAGACCAATGATTTAAATGCATTTGGCCTGAGTATAACAGAACAGTTACAAGGATTAGTACAACTAACCTGAACATTGTTTAATACTGAGGTGTTAATTGATTGACAGTACTTACCGAAGCTGAAATCTTGTTGAAGGCTATAACATCTGCCAAGGATCGGACTCGAGAGTGGACTAACTTTTTAAGGTATGCATTTAGGTCCATCTTGAATTCGGCGGTCAGTGCAATGCCTTGAGCATCAAACACAGCGGTGTAGACCAAGTTGATGTTAGGTATTTCCAGTTTGTCAACTAACACTGCTCCTTTTTGCCTTCAAATATTCATCCCAGAAAAAAGTGCATTGCTATTAGGATATTTAGTAACAGTACTAAACTACGGAAATGCTAGTGAGAATAAAAAGGCTACCTTAAGGTGTTAAAATGGTGTTGGTAAGCCTTGATATCATCTGAGCTAAAAAGGTCCTTTGTAATTCCCAATCTCTTAGCTCTGAGCCCATCAGCCTTAAGAAATTGCCGGTACCCACCACGAGGAATGTAAGTGGAAGCCTGTTTCGTTGCAGGTGAGTCATCTTGATCGAAACCAACGATGGCATTAAGAACCTCAACAGCATCAGATACTGTCCTGCAGATTGGCCTGTTCTATGCAGAAAAAGCATTGTATATGATAATCTGTTCATTGTTTTTTATTTGCATTTTGCATCCCTAATGTATTGCACTTTAATTTTGTTTCTTTTTTGATTTGCTGTTTTATTTATCTTCTTGCAGTACTATTACAACTTGAACAAAATGTGAACTTTGGACAGGTAAATTATCCAGTAAAAATAATTTCTTTGCATTTAGATCTAAAAAGTCATTTTTTATTCTTCTTTTCCCTTCACTCACTTTCGGAGAAAACTGGGAGGTTAACAACTACTCCATGATATAGCGGATGACTTACAAAGGGCTTAATATGGTTATGGATTGAACATTTAATTGTAAAGCAAGCAGTCGTGGATCCAAATGCTGGCAGTATATAGAGACCTAAGATTTAAATCTGTACATACCCAACAGTGTCTTGCCTATGTGAAATTGGGACAACGCCGGCCCTGCTGGTGAGGCCTACAGTTGGTTTGATTCCAACAACAGAATTAGCACTTGACGGAGATAGAATGGAGCCTGCTGTTTCTGTCCCCAGTGTTACTGCTGCCATGTTTGCTGCTACTGATGTTGCTGAACCAGTGCTTGATCCTGATGGATCAGCACTTGCTACATAAGGATTCTGAATAACATGAGTAAACTCTTTTTAGTCAATTATATACTTTAGATCTTTGTTTCACCTTAATTCCGATCTTTTGCATCTTAAGAAATCACAGGTGGCAAAATCAATCTATTTTAACATCCTGTTCAAGTATAAACTAGTTGGATAACTTATTGACTGACTTGACCTATGCAGATGCAGATGCAATGTATCACTATCGGGTTCATTTAAATCCAATATCTTTGACGCGGACTATAAATTTGTGTTAAAATCCGCTAATATTGCAATAAATTGTAGGTATGAACCCAAACAACAACGACAACATACCCAGTAAAATCCCACTAATGGGTTGGGGAGGATAGAGTGTACGCAGACCTTACCCCTACCCCGGAAGGGTAGAGAGGCTGTTTCTGGGGACCCAGAAGATACAATAATATCAGGAAAAAAAAAACAAAAAAAAAGTTCTGTAACAACAAAAGAAGCCAAAAAAGTAATAATAGCATCGTAAGAGACAACAAATAAGTGAAAGGGCAATAATACAATATTATACAAAACAACAAAATAATGTGAACACAACATAGATCGCTAACAGACCTAGACAAAACTCTATCAGACTACCTGATACAAAGAGAGAATAACGCTCGACTACCCCCTAGCCTACAACCCTAATGCTCGACCTCCACACGTTCCTATCAAGAGTCATATCCTTGGAAATCTGAAGCAACGTCATGTCCTCCTGATCACCTCGTCCCAATACTTCTTAGGCTGCCCTCTACCTCTTCTCGTACCTGTCAAATCCAACCGCTCGCACTTCCTAACCAGGGTATCTATGGTTCTCCTCCGCACGCGTCCGAACCATCTAAGCCTCGCTTTCTGCATCTTGTCGTCCACGATATCAACGCCCACCCTTTCCCGAATATCTTCATTCATTATCTTATCCAGTCTAATATGTCCGCATATTCATGAGTTCAAAGATAAGAACCTTAAAGGTGGAACAAATAGAGCTTAAATTTTGGATCCGCCTCTAGACCTATGGACTTGAACTCGAAATGATCGATCAAACAATGGGGGTAAAACTTATCAAAATAGCACATTAGTGCAACCCGACGGGTCAAAATAGAACTTAAAACCAAACAGGTTTCATCATAATCAAATTTAAAGATTGGAATTGTGTACTTCTGGAAGAACTTAACTAGTAATAATTTAAGGAAAAAAGATTGGCCTTCATATTATTTTCAAAAGGCAAATTCCCAATATAGTTATGACCCATTATTTGATCCATCTTAATCTAACTGATTTTGACCCAAGTAGACTTTGAGTGAATCCGGTCATGACCTATTTGCTGATTTGACTCGTTTTAGTCACCCAAATTTGACACAACCCGCACATTTATCGCCTCTAAATTAAATAATAGATATTTATTTTTTTGAGCTATAACTCACCAGAGCTTGGCCAAGTCTACCATTCCAACCACTAGGCAACTCTCCAGATCTAAAAGCAGCCCATTCAGTCATAGTTGCCTTGCCAAGTATGATAGCCCCAACTTTCCTCAACTTCTTGACTACACCAGCATCTTGTGGTACGATGGATCCAAGAAGAGCTAAAGATCCAGCTGTTGTGTTAAGCTTATCCTTAGTTGCAATGTTGTCCTTAACAAGAACAGGTATACCATGTAGCCTGGATAATGATTTTGGCGTCTTCGCTTTACGTTCTTGGTCAGCTTTATCTGCAAGTAGCTAGGAGTGTCAAATCTATTGAATTTAGACAGGTCAAAATGGATAAATGTTGACAAGTCATTAACCCGTCCAAAAGTTGTTTGACTCATACCTGCTAGATATAGTGCATCTGGATTCACTTCTATGATTCCTTTAAGAACTGGATTAGCTCTTTGAATTTGGCCTAGATAGTACTCAACAAGTTGCCTTGAGCTCAGTCTGTTTTGCTTGAAAGCTATTTGAATATCACTGACAGTTATTTCCTCAAATGAGAATGTTTTTGCCTCACTAATATTCCCATTGAAGTTGGACAATATCATGCACAAACAAATGAATAGAATGGCAAGAACAGACATTTTTTTTGTGAAAGCTATGAGAATATCTGTTTAGTATGAAGCTCACTTTATAGAATGGATGTCAAAGGAATGACCAATACTTTCCCAAAAGATCCAAATGCGTTGGCTGGTCCAAGATTAAACTCCTTTCAATGTCTAAAAGACTGGCAACATTGACCAGTGTGTTGCACATGTTAATAAACAATTCAAAAGCATTTCCTAGCTTGTTTTAATAATGCGGGATTAGTCAAATGTCTATATTTCAAAATACGAAGGATTATTTTTGTTATCTAGTGGTGTTAATATATGTATTACTAATCCACGTATCATATCTCGCATTCTATCCCATATAAAATAATACAATATATTCGCCTAGTTTATGCTGATATCAGATATGCGGAAAAAGAAAATAGGGACAAATATTATATTGAATAATGCTAATTTGTTTCATTGAACGGACCAAAATCAACTAAGAGCCTGGCTGGCCAAGCTTCCAGGAGGACAACAAAAAAAGTACTTTTTGAAAAATTTGAGGTGTTTGGCCAAGATGAAAAAATACTTTTAAACAGCACCAGAAGCAATTTTTTTGCTTTTGGGGAAAAATCATATTTATATTTAAAACAAAAATAACCTTATAATGCATTTATATTTTCTAAATTATACCTTATTAATTTAATATTTTTCTATTCCCTTTCCTTTTTATTTCTATCAAACTAGTTGGTTAAATTTTTGCTTAATTTTCAATCAAGAAGAAAACACTTTCGAAGATTAGCCCTAAAAAATTAAAGTAGGTGATATTCCTACTTTTGATTTGGGTGTTTTCTCACAGGATTCACCCAAAAAAGTTTAAAATCGACACATGCAAAAGCAGAGACCGACCCCAGGCTTTCCCCTCGTGAAGTTAGGGCAGAAGCTCGAACAAAACATAAGCACGATAGGGATACTGGTGAAGCCTCGACGTCTGTTAAATCTGTAAAACAGAAGGGCAAAGAAATTGCTTCCGATGATGATTTCGTCAAAGAAGAAGTTATTACGAAAGTTGCAAAAAAAAAATAGAGTTTTTCCTACTCTTAAACCTTCAAAAAAGAAGAAGGTTCAAAAAGCGGCTAAAACTATACCCCAACAGTTATTGGAGATGGTAAAATTTTAGTAGTTTTAATTATTATTTTTAAAGCTAAAAAACTTGATCTCATTCTCATGAACATACATAATTTTTGTTTTTTTGTATTTGTAGATATTTTGTTTATATTATGTAGATTTGTTGTAGGTTAATAAATTTTCTATATTTCCCTGTAAATTGTGGATTTCTTCTATATTATTCGAAATCAGCTAGCTAGGGAATGTACTACATGATTTAGTTAGTTTTATTGGTTATTATTTGCTCTTTTGTAGATGTTAGTTTCATTTTTTGTAGAGAAATTGTATATATTATGTCTAGTTCATACTTTCTAATTCCTTGCTCTAAACATAATTTTATCAATGTATATGTAGATTCAGTGTAGTCAGTTGTTATATATGTTTACTAGTGTTGAAACTTAATTGTTTGTAATGTATTAATGTTTTCTAGTTGTAGTTAAATTGCAGTATAAATGTAGTTATTTTATTTTCTGATTTTGAAACAACTTTTATTAACTTGATGTTTTTTTTTTTGCTGTAGAATTGAATATTTTTTGCACCACATGATGTTGATTATGGCATCACTAGGTTCTAGACATTATCCGATCCTACTATTCCTGGCCAAATCAAGGATTTACTGTCTAAAAATTGGTTAAAGCTGTTTAAGAAGACATGTTTTGGATATTTTCTTTCCTTGCCCAAAATATATATTCAAAATCAGGCAATTCATCTTCTCATGAAATATGAATTGAACGCATCTGGTTCCGGCTTTTTTTACAGCAGAGATAAATGGTGAGAGGGTGAATTTTGGGACACCGCTGTTGATCCTTTCTAAATCCACCTTCAACCGAGTATACGTATGATGCGGGAACAGGAAGAACGAAAATTTATTTTTATATTGAAGTCCTTCCCGTTGGAAGGCTGGGGGACGCCTTGCGGGTTGAGAGAGTTTGCCCTGATTAGTGGCCTTAGATGTTTTATAAAAGTGAGTGACTTTGGTTACATAACTAAGTATGAAAGTAAAATAATGAGCAGCTATTTTTCGAACAAGGAAAAAGTTGAGAAGTCATACTTGAAACAAATTGTAACCGATCGTAGTTGGGTGAAAAATGAGGATGCAGTCAAGCTGTGTATTCTCTATCTCACGTAATTTTTCCTCTGTCCTTCAAACAAAGATAATTTAGGTTTGATAGACCATTTTAGGTTCTACTTGGTGGACTCGGGGCAGTATGCGAACTACGCATGGGGTATCCAATCTTATACACGATTGCTTGAGTCTGTTAGGCACAAGCGCAATACTTTTGTGCATTTTTATCTCATTCGAGGTTTTGCACTAGCTATACAAATATGGTTGTATGAGTGTTGCATTATAGTCAACATGGATAGAGCTACAAGGGTTGCTAATTCGATCCCCCGCATACTTAACTGGATAGCTAGTAAGGACAAGATATGATTATCTGCATTGGAAGATAGAATGATCAAACCATCATGGATCAAGGTAAATAGTTTTCACTTCTACGCACACAATTTAATACAAATTATCTACATAATTTATACATAATATGACTAGGTCTCTCACATTTTTTTTCACTCAGTTCGCCAACATAATTGAAACACCAAAAGAGCTTTCAAGAATGAATTTGCTAGATAAAGTTGAATACATCCTTAAAGAAGATGAAACAAAGTCCAAGCATCCGACAGATGCTCTATCTCCATCCGGATATAAGCAGACAACTGAAAAAGATGACAAGAAAGATATTGTGAAACAAATAAAAAAAATTAAGAAAAGATGTTGATAAAGTAATATTTATACATAATCCTAGATTGTTTCTTTAATTTATGTTATGCAAATTATTTCGTTAACTCTTTTTATTTTAATATGTAGGTGGGTTCAGACCTTGGAACTTTCACGAAAGAGGTTTTTCAAGAACTAGGTAGTATTCGACTGTTACTCAATGATTCAGTCAAGCCTGTTTTACAGGCAATAAACAGTCAAAAGGTTAACATTGATGCTAAGGTTTCATTCGAAATATATTCATTTTAGATAATAATTTTCACCATGTCTAAGTTTCTATTATCATTCATAAAGTATATAGCCTAACAAATTATGCTTGCAGTTTACTAGCAGTTCTACGAAAAAAGATGAGCATTACAAAGAAAAGAACAATCAACACATTTCGGGCAGTAGTTCTAAACCAATGTTGGTCAGCAGCAGTAAAACATGTATCTACATTATATCTACAATATATCTACATATAGCCTAAATTACCAACAACTAATCTACATTATATTTTCAATGGTTTTCTTAGATACATGGCACATGAATGACATTCAAATTAAGGATAATGTTCCTCTAGGTGTTGATTTATCTTCCCAATTTGAAGGGACATTTGATGAAGAAAATGCATGTATGATTTAGTACATATTATCATCATATTTCACAATACATTTTGCATATCAAATGCAGGATAACATTTCAACAAATTTACTACAATTTATCTATATTGATGTTAATGTTTATTGCAAATTATCTATAATTTAATTAAGTTGTACACATTATTGTAACAGAGAAGGAAATTATGCATGTGGACTCTCCAAAACAGAAAGCTAATATTAGCGTTCCAGGAGAGCATTTAAATGAGGAGAAGGAGTCTACAAAAATGCAATCTCCCATTCAACAAGAAAACGTTATACAACAAGGAGACAATCGCTGTGAAGATTTCAATGGTATTATATGTTACATTATAATTGTAGGAAAAAAACAGGTTTTATATAAGTTTCAATTTTCCATAAAGAACTATGCAACATGTCTTCTTATTCTTTTGTTTTAAATTTTGAAGGTGAACCAGCCGACTACATTAATGTAGGTGATTCAAACAATAACTCCAGATCTGAAAAAGGGGAATTAACACTTGATGATTTTGAGCTGCCAGAGATCTTCTCCCAGATTGTTAAGTTCGGCGAGCTTAATGAAGATGAAATAACCCATGTGCATTAAGGAAGAACAAGGTAGCCTGGAAAGCATGCCAGATCCCCCTTCCTCCCTTTTTACAGTTCTGAGGGGAGCACTTCTGTTGGATCTCTAATTTTCCTCATCAAGCATCCATTTACTGAGGTTATTGGGGATGATGTTGATCCTGACTTGTTGGAAGAATTCAATAAGTAGTTATACTTTGGTACCAATATGGTTTCAAATAGGTTAGTTTATACAAATTTTTCATATTTTTTAGTGCATTCAATTTTTTTATTTCCAGTTGAATCTATATATTTATTGTAATTGTTATATGTTTAAATAGGAGGAAGGCGTCTGATTCTGTAAAAGATAACCAACTTAAGTTGTGGTATGATCTTCGAGTGGAAAAAGTTTATAAAAAGGAGTAGTTTTATACTTTGGAACATCCCGGGCAAGTCCTCAACGATAGGTAAATACATACCCTGGCAGAATTTAATGATTAGTTGTAGTATTCTATTATTTAAGAATATTGTAGTTTTTTTGTTTAAAAATTGTAGTTAAATTGTATGAAGCATTGAGAAATAATGAAATTTATTTTTTTGCAGCACACTGATGTTATTTTATACTATTTGAGGAAGAGAGGAAAGTATGGTCCTCAAAACAAAACACGATTTACAACCACTAACTGTATGTTCAAAACTAGAATTGAACATATTTACCAAAGGTATGTTAATGCTCCTACCGATAAGAAGCTTGTTGTTGTCAAACCCCATGACGTCGTATCAGAATACATATTGGGGTATAGGTTACTTGTAAATGCTGCATGGGATCAAGTTGATTTTGTGATTATGCCCATAAACATTGTGAAAAAATTTCTTTGGTTGTTGGTTGTGTTTAACATTACCAATAGGGTTCTATATGTTTATGATTCTATGGTCTCTTCACAACATCACAACCTTGTTGAATCTGTTGTCAACAAGTTTGTTGTTATGATCTCCCTCTATTTGTCATACACCGGCTTCTATGGCAAGCGTCGAAACATCAACTACAAGAACACAAAGGCATACATTGAAAAAGGTGTTTCTGACCCTCTTGACATTCAGTGATTGGTCGGTGAGATACCCCAGCAAAGAGAGGGATCACTCTATGAAAAAGTTGATTTTCCTTCTATCTATTTAACATATTTTATTTTACACTGAATGCTAAATCTTTTTCCCTAATTTCTTTTTGCAGTGACTGTGGTGTATACGTTGCGACATTTGCAAAATATGCCAGCATTGGAGAGCTAGCGATTTCAAAAGAAGACCTTTCTGATATTGATCAACATCGTAGACGCTATGGAGCATTACTTTGGGATTATGCTAGGAAAAAGCAAGAGCTTGGTGCAATTAGTGAGACTGAGGTGACTGGCAGATTAGCAAGAAGAAAAGGTGCACCAGCTGTGAACGAGAGAATACAAATCCGGAAGAAGAATAATTAGTTTCCCTTTTCTGTAGAAAATTTTTAGTTAAATTGTTTAGTTATAACTGGTTTGTACTAAAGTTGTAGACAAATTGTTAACTAAGAACAAGTCAGTTGAAATTTATTTGTAACAGATTTGTGCAACAATTGTTTTACCTTTTGTTTTGTTATTTTGTCCAGGATTCTACTACTTAGAATCGAAAACACGAGGAAAAGCCTTTTTGGTTGAAAGTTATTAGTACTTGATTCTACTACTTATGTTTTGTTTTGTTACCTTTTGTTTCGTTATTTTTAGCATATAATTTCTTTACGACTTAACTACAATTATGTCTACTACTAATATATAAAATACATAATCTATTCAATTTTAAGCAGTGTTATTAGGAAAGGCTGAGATAAATACACTCGGTAATTAAACAAAACAACTACAAACCAATTGCATTAAGAGTTGAAAATATTTCATTATAGGAGATAGTCTTTATTCAATTTATCAACACAATTACACCTCAATTATAATTCTCCAGAACATCTCAACATGATTTATCAAAAAATCTTGTGACTTTATTAATTTTTATTTCCTTTTGGGAGTATTCTTACAAGATATTTCTAGTTCGCAGTTGCCACGTGAAATCTTGTACTTCTTTGCATTTACTTCATCATATGCTTTGTATCTTTGTTTTTGAGGTCTCTCTGACTGTCTTTTCCTAGTATGTGGCATTACGACTTTTTCAGCTATATGCTGTTGCACATTCCATTTGTTTTCGTCAAGCAACAGATCTACTGGTATTTCATAAAGCAAAAGGCTCTCCCTCGTGTAATAAGGAGAACAACAGTTATAAGACTCATTCCTATGCCTCAAAGCCACCAAAGCATGTGCACAAGGAAGTTCATCAAGCTGGAATTGTCCACAATTACATCTCTTATTTTGAAGACAAACAATAAAGCGCTCCACACCATCTATCACTGTATAGATGTGTTCTATGGAAGCCCTCACCTACAATTCATTAAAAACACACAACAAGTTGTCAGCAACATATACAAAATAACTACAATTATACAATACTTTATCTACAATTAACAGTATATATTTAGTTTAATGGAATCATTGATCTGACGTTACTGGATATAGATTACTCTCATCTTCTGCGATAATGTCTTGTTGTCCTCCAACTCTTTGTTGTATTTTTTTTCCAAGGTATGTGAACGTACCATTTGTTTTCAATAACTTTTCATTAGTCCAACGTTCAAGAAGCCTTATGTACTCTAATAGTTCTACTACGAGCAGCTCTCTTGCATCTTTTGTTACCGCATTCAATGATTCTGCAATGTTTGCTGTCATCGTCCACGTTCTGTTCACCATAGCAAGTACCCGATGTTGTCATCCAATTTTGTCCCTTCTTTTTTTCAAATTATTTTTTTAAGCTTCTAATATCACTAATAATATAAGGTAGTTATTCTACTATTTATTTTAATACAAATTATGCCTATTTGTTATTATTATTAAAACTCTTACTATACATGTTATTGTTATTATTATTATTCACTCGTTCATTCATTCTTATCGCCTTTTGTGAATAAGCATATCATTCTCCTTTATTTAGTAAAATAGTAATGTTTCTTTAATCCTACATTTTATAAATATTTGTTCCAAGAATATTATAGTTTTATACTTATCAATTAGTATAAGGAATATTTTTATATGTTAATAGTAAGTAGTATTATATAATATAATTAATAGAAGCCCAAAAAAATATACAAGGAAGAAAGAAAATATTCAGCAGTCTAGGCCTAAATTTCGGCCGCCCAAAGTCTCTTTAACCCAAAATAAAGTTCAACCCTAGTGACCCGGTAGCCCAAGTCCAGGAATCCTCTAGAATACCTTCCTCATTTAAGTTTGGTCAAATAAACCCACAAAAATCTCTCAACTCTCTCTCTTCCTCACGTGATATCTCCCCTTTTCCAGAGAAGCTTGCCTTCCAAATGATAGACTAAAATGGTGAAATAAACGGCCAATCCTCTCTCAAACGGCTATTTTAATTTTCAAACCAAGAACCCTAATTTTTGCCCTATAAATGCAATCCATTTGGGGACAAGCTCTTAGCCGACCCTTTCACCCCAAATTTTGAGAGTTTCAGCCGCCCCCTTTACTAGAGCCATCGTTGCATATGATTCTCAAACTCACTGCTTTTCGCTCCCGCTTTTACTCCTTTAAAGCACTCTCTAAAATCCTAGCTTTTCGTTTGATATTTCTCGCCTCTATTGGTTGATTTTTTTAGTCAAAGCAGAGGTGTTTTGCCCTTTTTCCGGAATCGTTCGAAGTAGTTAGTTCGAGGTCGGAGTCCGATAAATCCAAGACCCTCGCCCTAGTTCACTGCCCCGCAACAGGTCAGTGACTTTGTTTTACTTATTTTTCTTTCGATTCTAGGTAGTATCTGCTTGAATCATTAATTTTTGAAATGCATTAGTTTCTCTTTGTGTGAGACGTCATTAAAAATGGATATTCGTCATGCCTTTTTTTGTTGAGAGTTGATTGAAGTCATCGTTTTTGTGTTATTACTCCTTTGTCAAAATCTTATGTTAAGTGTTCCTTATTTTCTTTAGCTGCTGTCCTCCGTATATTAGAAATCATATGTTAAGCTATTTCTTGAATGGGGGTTAAGTCATAATAGACTGCGAGGATGCTAGTTGGACGAGTATTTTATAGAAACCACGAATAATCTTATTGTATGAAATAAAACTGTCTCTAAAATATGATTTGGTTGCGTAAATGCGTATGGATATGGATGCTTCATGCTTTAGCTATCATCCATATAGGGTGTTGCTATTTATAATGGGTTCACCTCATGTCTTCCATGCGTTAAATATTCATAGCTGCGCTACTTTTAGTTTACTGTCCAAAGAATGAAAGATAGATCTTCTCAAGAGCTCTAAATTACCAATAAAATGACCAACCTGCCTAATCAATGTAATATGGATATTAAGGCTCATATGCTCTCGTGTTAAAGTAGGATTTTATAAGCTAACCAATGTAAATTTTCTTATTATAAAGAAACCAGGCTTTGGATTATTTTTTTTTTTGCTCGAAATTTAGAGACCATGCTTATAGGTTCTAACTAGATCTCAACCAGTTGCAATAAGAATTATTTTAGACATTGTCGTAAGTAAATAATATAATTTGAGCCAAGTTATGATTCTTTCCTCTTGTTATACTGTTATAAGGGTCTGTTCATTTAGTGTTTCAACCTTTTAGTGACCTGCTATGAGAGAAATTTTATATATATTTTAATGGAAGTGGTTTTACAGATCCTTGACTTAAGATTGTATCATTGAAGTATCGAAAATAGGGTCTTATATATGTGTTTATAAATGATTTATTCTTTTAGTTTAAATAAATGTTTCCTGAGTTACTATGTCGTAGTAATCTCTAAAAAGTGTTAACTTAGTTTTGTTAATCATACCTATAAGTATATTAAAGGAACAAAATGTGTTTCCATCTTTTAATTCATCGCAAGTAGTTGTCATGATGACTTAAAATTCCTATGTAAAGAATCTGCTTCTATTGATATGGTTTTTTAGCACCACTGTAGTAATTGTGTTGCTTTACTTTCTCATTGTCCTCAACTAGTTGGGGATACAATTTGCAATATTAAGATTATATTGTTAATTTTTATTTCTCGCTTTATTTGCATGTACACTTTGGAGAACATGGAGTCTTAATGCAAGACTCTCCCACCCGAACATAGGGTCATCACATACCATCTTCCCTGGAGTGCATCGGATAGCAAGAAAACAAGCGAAACGCTTGGGGCGCCTATGGCGTCTTTCTTATCTTTTCTTTACATCCATTTTGTCTAACTTCTTGATTACGGCCGATTTATTTGTATTTATGCTTATTTCATGTTTAGTATGGGTTTTGGTAATTAAGTTTATTTAATTATTTAGTATTTCTGCTAAATAGAGTACTCATTCATCACATGGGACTAACATTAACTTAGATGAAGACTTGAAGCCTTCTCTTTATTTCTACTTTTTAACCCATGAACACTCAAGGATTTGGAGTCTGCCAGGGTCTTGGTAAATCCTTTCATATGGGAAAACGTTGGAGGGTAGGATCGAATTCCAAGCCAAATACGTATTTCAAAAACTATGGCTTTAGTGCATTTTAAACCATAATTCTTTTCTTCAAACTAAGTCGTTTATGGATTTCACACAAACCATCATTTTAACTTTTACTTAACCAATTGGATCATTTATTAACCCTATATTGTTAAAGTCATTTTGTGATTAACTTTGAGCTATTTTTAGTACGTATAAAATACCTAATAGGTATACTTGTGTTATGTAACAAGACGTTGGATTAATTAACCTAAGTTTGACCGTTTAACTATTTTTTAATGAATCTTAAAAGGTGCCTTACTCCTTCCTTTTGAGATAATTAGAATCCTTACCTAGAATTTCTAAGGTTAAGCGGACCATAAACTTGACTTAACTTTACTACATTATTTAATAATTAGGTGTCCTAATTCACCATTAAAATAATTAGGTGATGAATCTTTTAATTAATTAAACGTCGTATTTATCAATATATTGTACTCTAGTTTGACCCGTGTTAAAATGGGGTATAACACCCGAGACCATCTATGATAGCCAATATCTTATAGGTATGCTATAACACGCGTCGATCTCTTCAATCTTTGTCATTCTTTCATCAAATTCATCATGTGTGTATGATCGTGCTGTGGCAAAGTACAATTCGCTTAACTTTAGATGACCCTTCTTGAACTTTGACCTTACATTTGTCAAATATGCCACATGCAAGCATAGTAGATATTACATTTAAGATACTCTCATTCCGGTCCGGAATAACACATATTTGATTTTTCACCATATGCATGTTTGAATTGCTCAAAAAGCCACTTCTATGATGCGCCATTTTCTGAATCAACAACAACGTATGCCAGTGGTAATATGTTACCTATCACACAGGTGACAAAAAGAAATTCAATTTTTTTAAATAAAACTTGAGAGTATAAAAAATACATACTGAAAAATGACTTTACAAATATATTTATACAATTAATCTACAATACCTGTTGCATCCATTGTGCTAGTTGTTAACATTATTCCCCTATATACCGACTTCAAGAAGGTGCCATCAACTACTATATCTGGCCTACAATACTCTCAACCGTTGATGGACGTACTAAGCGCAACAAATGCGTACAAGAAACAGTCATCTTCAGTCTTCTGCAATAACTACCGACCCCTGATAAGTCTTCTCCAAAATATACAAATAACTTGGCAAGTGACTGTAGGAATCAGCAGGATGACCTCTCAAAAATTTTAAAGCCTTTTCCTTTGCTCTCCAAGCTTGCATGTATGTCAAGTTCACACCATGTTCCGACAACATATCAATTTGTATGTCTTTTGGTGTGTATATTATCTTAGGATCCGCATATTTTGGTATAACCATGCTACCAACTACCATGACAGTAGGTTTGCTTTGTGTGTATGTATTGTTCATCAAAGAGCATGTGTACAAGCTGATGAATTTTTGAACTTTAAACAATACTGATTCGTTTAGGCTGGTGGACTTGAAGTGCCATGTACAATTGTCCCCGACACATACCAGGCAACAACTACGGAATAAGAACAATTTAAAAATTGTTATGAAAAATGTAGCTACAAAATAATAGGTTGTTTAAGCATAAAATTTTTATATTAGACAATTTTTATACAAAAAAACTACAAATTATATACAATTTATATATTAAGAAAGTACAAACTATACAAAAAAACACAAAAAAAAACTACAAATTAAAATAAATATGAATTTAACAATTGAATTGTTCCCACCTTCTTATGCTACCTCTTCACCCTAAATTGGAACTTATTCATGACAGAATAGTGCTTTATTGCATTGATAATTGTTTGCTTGTCTTTGTAGACTTGAGCTACTTCAACAACATTTGGCATATGTTCTATTATGATGATACTTTCATATTCCACAATTGTCGGAGATGTTGGCCTATCAATCACCTTCACTATTCCAGATGAACGTGCACTCAATTAAAAGTATCTATAATTCAGAAATATATTGTAGATAATTTGTAGTAAAATTGTAGAACACGTGAAATTGAATACTTCAATAGTCATAACAGTTAAACTACATTTGTTAGGTAGTATCATTGTAGATATGTTGTAGAATAACTGTAGAACACATGGAACTGACAAAACATCACCACTGAAAATACAGAGCAAACTTGTAATTGTGCTCGAATTAGAGATACTGCATTCCAAATCGAAATCATGCACTGTTATATATAGGGGATATATTCCTAAGCTTTTGTTTTCCTTTTTCGTCTCCGTGTATACTCGAAGTCCCATATCGTTCCGAATTTTCATTGGAGGACAACATTCATTGATAATGTATTTGATTTCGATGATTTTTTCGGAGGTATCGATCATTAGATACTCTACAATTGCAGAATTCAATTGACTATAATTTGAATCCTCGCTGACTACAATTCCATCAATATTACAATCTTTGTATCCTCAATGCTATCCCAATGATCATTTATCTGAAGCATAATAGCTAATTTTGACATTATGCCGCAGAATTCAATACAATTGTAGATAATTGTTTGCAATTTTTTTTAAAACCTTCGCTTATGGTTTTGAAACCAGAGGAAACAGAGAACACTAGAGAATAGAACTTGATTGTGCGATAATAATCAGAGAAAATCGACGTAATAACAGGCTTAATTAAATTGCGATGATTGCATAAAATCTCTAAAGAATCCTATGCGATCCCAAAATCTTGCGTCTACAAAAGGAAGGCTACTGCAGGAAGGGTTCTAGTTTAAATAAATGTATATATTTTGTAGACAAAACTTGTTTAGATCAGATAATTAACTAAATGTGGACATATTTGGTAATAAAGTTTCAAATATTGTATAGGAAGGTAAAAATCCCTTTAAGAAACATTCAGATAAACCAATAAGTGAGTGTGTCTAATCAAACAAATTTATGGGCTTACCAAACACCCTTATATTGCCAACTTTTTGGAAATAGCAGGAAAGTTTTTCTTAAAGAGAAAATATCAGCTATGTTCATTTATAAGTAGTTTATTACAAAAATTGGTCCATTTATAAAATATTACTAATATTAGCACTTTAGCTATTTGTAGCCAAAAAGGGTTAAATTTTTGCTTTCTTTTGAGTGAGTGTTATTAGAATAGATTGGGTACATCTTAAGTTGCTTGAATCTCAATATTGGGATGATTTGGTGGAGTTTTGAGGTGGTTTGAATTGAAAATTCGAAATAGAAGATGAACATGAAAAAAATGATAGGTGTATCACACTGTGTATCACATATGTATCAAATATGTATCACATGTATATCCATGTATACCTGCGTGATACATGTTTAGTACATATGACGCAAAAGAATTTTTTGAACTCGATTTCAACTACGAATTTTGATACCAAATCAGTCCAAATAACCTCCAATCTTCTTCAAGTTTTGTATATTGACTCATCTATATGTTTTCAAAGAATCTCAACCGTGTATATATATATATATATATATATGTATGTATGTATGTATGTATTTCATCACTTTATTTGCTACTTCATCCATGGAATTTCCTTTCCGCCTTCATCTAATGTTGCTAATCACGCTTGAAAATATGGAAGGAGATCTTTGTCATTCTTGGAGAGAAAAAACCATGTTTCTTTGGATTTTCAATTTTTATACGTGTTTAACTAGTTTTGGTAAGTCGGATTAATAGCTACACGAGTTGGTAATTTGAGACTTTTTTGGAACATTGTAAGATTACAACAACAACAACAACGACCTAGTATAATCCCACAAGTGGGGTCTGGGGAGGGTTGTATGTACGCAGACCTTACCCCTACTCCGAAAGGTAGAGAGGCTGTTTCCAGGAGACCCTCGGCTCAAAAGAAGCAATAGGAGATGATACATTAGTTATGTAAAAATGCGTAATAAAACAACAACAATATATAAGAGATATGAAATATGAAATACAGGATACGACAACGAAAATACGAAATAGATGGCTGGTATAGTACAACTAGAAGGTAAAGTCCTGCATCAATAGACGCCTAATGACCTTCCTAGTCTAAATGACTCATATATTGTAAGATTCCCTTTCTTAAATGACTCATAAATTAATTACTTTAGTATAATCCTTTTATTCTCTCGAAATAATCTCGAAAAAAATATATCCTCTAAATTCCAATATTAAACTCACATCGGTATGCTCAATCGCCACACCGTCGATTGATACTCCATAAACAACTTCACCGGCAGTGTACAACAGTTTAAACAGAACGTATCTCGGAAATTTCAAATTCCTAATAAACTGTTTGATAATTTTCACTTTTCAGGTGCTTTTGGATAGTTCAGGTTCAGCCCGCCACAGCTAAGTCCTTTTTGGTTGGCGCAAAAAGGGGCTGCTTTCTCCATTCTTGCATGCTTATATATCTACAATCCAATCATTCACATCTTACAGCCTTTATTCAAAATGGTATTCTTTCCTTCAATTTCAAGAACTATTTCTTCTTCAGTGAGGAAAAATGTGCAAACCCATTACAGAAAATTGAGGTACATGAGTAACGTTCCAGAAAACACTGTATATGGTGGGCCGAAACCCCAAAACCCAAATCAAAGAGTGACACTAACGAGTCTAAGACAAAAACATAAGAAGGGGGAGCCTATAACAATGGTGACGGGTTATGATTACCCATCAGGTGTTCATATAGATATGGCTGGAATTGATATATGTCTTGTGGGTGACTCAGCATCTATGGTAGTTCATGGGCATGACACCACTTTGCCTATTACACTTGATGAGATGCTTGTTCACTGTAGAGCTGTTGCTAGAGGTGCTAAAAGGCCTCTTCTTGTTGGTGATTTACCTTTTGGTACTTATGAGTCTAGTACTAAACAGGTAATTTTTTAAAATTTTGTGCAACTCTTTTTACACCAGCAGGTTAAATTGAATTATTCTTAGCAAGTCTGATTTGGTACAGTATAGAAATTTGCACTGACAGGTTTATTAGTTAAATCCAACAGGTAATCATTTGTTGCTCAATTTTGTATGAGCATTGTCACTGTGACTGAGTTTTATGCATTCTGGGTGTTAAGTTATGGTTGTTTGTTTGGAATGGTGACATATTTGATAAAGAATAAAGAAAAGGAGGAGAAACGAGAGTTCCTTTTTATTACTCAATTTTGTTGAAGAATTGAAGTTCTTTTTTTTCTTTTTGGATAGATAAAGAGTTGAAGTTTTGATTGAGGTTTATCATGCCTTTGTCATTTGCGTTATAGCATAATGCTTTTTCTTGTGTCGTATGATGTTACGTTGTTACTTATTTGGGGTGGTGAGATATTTTGGATAAAAAAATAGAGAAAATGAGGAGAGAAGAGAGTTCCGTTGGTCCTTAGGAGTCTGGTTCTGATCAGTTGATCCTTTGTTGCTCAATTTTGTCCAAGAATTGAAAGTTTGGTTTGACTTCTATCATGCCTTTGTTATTCGTGTTATAATAAAATGCTTTTTCTCGAGTCATGTGATGTTATGATGTTACTTATGGGGAGTCGTAAGAAATTGGATAAAGAATAAAGACAGTGGAGAATGAATTTCGGTTCTTTTGGTGCTCATGAGTGATCTTTCTAGCTCAAAATTATTCCAGAATTGATGTTTCTATTGATTTTATGCCTTTTAGATTTGCGATATAGTTCCGTTGGTTCAATTGCTTTCTTATGTCTGTGATGATCTAGTTGCTATTTGTTCGAGGGATATTCAATGGATGAATGGGAAGCCAGAAACAGTTCTTTGGCACTTCTGATTCTAATGTTTGTCGAGTGGCTTTTTGTAGCTCAATTTTTTAACGAGAACTGCCATTTTGATTCATTTCTATTTTGCTTTACATTTCTCTTTTGCATTGTGGTTCATTCATTTTTCTTATGTCATGAGATGTTATGCTAATTATTCTTAATGTAATTTAGTTATTGTTGTACAGAGATTTTTGATTCAACTGCTTCTTGAGGAAGTGAAATTGCTAACCTTTGAATCCAAAATTTTCCTAGTTTGATTATTCACTATTTCTAATTGAATTGAAGTAATGTTGATATTTCGTGAAAGATTGATTCTTCGTTACAACTGTTATTACCAATTTTCTGTTGCTTTTTCGAATATATTGCTAAAAACTAAAGCAGATTGTATGCATAAAGATAAAATTGTAAGTTGTTCCTATTTAGTAAGTGAATGATTTGTCTAAGTCAAGAAACTACACGTCAACACAACATTCAAAAATGAACTTTTGAAGCTATTGCTAATCTTCAATTTTCAAACCTTTGGGGACGCTGCTAGTAGAACCAGCATTTGCATTGTGATGATTGTTACTTGCACATACAACAATCAATTAAATGTTGCCTCTCCATATTGGGGCGAGGGTGGTCTTTTATTGTTAAGTTTCAACGGAATGTGAATGGGTCGGTAATGTTGTATTGTGAGCAGGCAGTAGATACAGCTGTAAGAGTTCTAAAGGAAGGAGGGATGGACGCAATTAAGTTGGAAGGTGGGGCGCCATCAAGAATTACAGCAGCTAAAGCTATTGTTGAAGCCGGGATTGCTGTAATTGGGCATGTGGGACTAACACCACAGGCAATCAGTGTACTTGGAGGATTTAGGCCTCAAGGCAGAAATGTTGATAGCGCAGTCAAGGTATACCTATTAAAAGCTGATTGGGTACACCACTCGTATGTTTAAGGCGTGCATTTATACTTGTTTTTATGTATTTCGCAGGTTGTGGAAACTGCCATGGCATTGCAGGAAGTAGGTTGTTTTTCTGTTGTTTTAGAATGTGTGCCTGCGCCTGTGGCTGCAGCAGCAACATCCGCTCTTCAGATCCCCACTATTGGAATCGGTGCTGGGCCTTTCTGCAGTGGTCAGGTTGGTTGGATGTCCTACAGTTTTTCACTTCTTATGTTGTTTTAATAAAATGTTCTATTCCAACTCTTTTACACTTTCTACTTTTTTTTTTCCACTTATGTTGTGGTAATAAAATGCTTTATTCTAGTTTTGTTCGAGTGAAAATTTTATCACTTTCTACATGCACACCAATTAAAAGGGAAATGGTGTACAGACCCATAGTTCAAATGTGTATGCTAGTTGGACCGTTTGCCATAGATATTAAGTGTTTGTTTTACCATCTGGTCCATCGCTTCAACTTCAAACTTGAAATAGAGAATTTGAAGTTTGGAAAACAGGCTGGAGTAATTGTTGTTATATGTAAAACCAAAGAGAGAAATGAAGTTCAAACAGTACTATATAGTTCTTAAAGAACATGAATGCTTGAAACTAACACTTTAATGACTCACTGAGAGTTGGAAGTCCAAACATTTAACTCTTGGGGTTGAGTGTCCCATTATTTAGATAAGATATGATTACTAACGTGAAAGTTGAAAGTTTTAATATATTTATATGAAAATGAGTCCAAGAGTGTAGATAAATTTACTTCTTTGAAGAATTTGAACATCTTTTAAGTACAAAAAGTAAGTTCGAAAACCGCTCTTTTAAACGATTAAATATTGAAGAACTTCTGAAACTTTCTTTTTAGGAAAGTATAACAATTTGGGACAATCAAAGTACAAAAGTTTGCACAGTGGGAACATCTTTGCAAAACTTTTTTCGTTTTTTAGAGTGCGGGGCTTTATACCACATAATAAGCTGCTGCTGTTGGATAAAATGTTTGGTGGATCATTGGAAGTAACTGCACTGCGCTATCTATATTTTTCTGACTTGCTGTGACGAATGCCTTACGTAGAATGACATTGCTACTTCGTTTCATCTCTTCTCATCACAATGCATGATTTTACATGCCGTGAAGTTTAGAAGCCACTCATGGAGGATGACATACCTACATTTCCTCTGTCATGATATTAGCATGCTTTGTCAATGTCTTCACTCTCCCGCAGTAGAACATTCATTTCGACAATTTGGAGTTGACAGTTAAGGTTATCTAATTGCATGTCCTAAAACGCAGGTGCTAGTTTATCACGATCTACTTGGGATGATGCAACACCCACACCATGCCAAGGTTAGTACAATTAAGTTTACTCTGAAGTCAATCTTCTTTTTCTTACTCTTAGTGCTTTTTGTCTGAACTATATTCCATGAACTAATGTCTAAACCTTTTACAGGTTACTCCTAAGTTTTGTAAGCAGTTCGGGCAAGTTGGAGATGTTATCAACAAAGCTCTTCTACAGTACAAGGAAGAAGTAACAAATGGTTCCTTTCCTAGCTCTGCTCATAGCCCATATAAGATAGGCGCAGCCGATATGGATGGTTTCTTCTCCGAGTTACAGAAGTTGGGTTTCAGTGATGCAGCTTCAGCAGCAGCTGCTGCCACTGAAAAGATTCAGACAGCTAATTCGCCTGCCTAATTGAGAGGACCAGCATATTTTGAGTATGGTTGGAGCCAAGAAGTGCTATTAAATATACCTTCTGAACTAGAGTGAGCTATTACTCATTGTCTCGCCTAGGTGGGTTGGGAAAAGGGGGGGGGGGGGGGGGGGGGGGTAAGGTGTTTTTGTGCTAGAAGAGGCATTCATTTTGTCGATTAAAATTATTAGACCAATTTGTACTTCCAGATTGGAAATAAGAGTTCCTTTTAGAGTTGGCAAAAGAGATGGTGATGGTAGCAACATTACTAATGTATTATTATAGAAAAACCAAAAAATTAAAAGAAAAGTATGCCTTTATATACTACCATTTTGCAAGAGAGAGCAGAGCAATCTGCAGTGTACATGAGGTGAAATGTCTAGTCCAATTGATAAGTTTTATTTTGAGACCTCGAGTGATGTCTTAGTTGTAATACTCTTAATAGATGATTGCATTAAATCTAGGGTTGTCAATGGTTCAATTTGGCTTGTCATTTTTAAAAAATTATGTCATCAATTTTTTGGTTAATCTGTTTTGAATAACCAAATCAGACTTTTCGAAATTGTCCCAATCGTTTCGGTTTTTCTTCGGTATCGGTATGTTTTGGTTAATTATTATTTCAAATGTCATATAAGAGTTGCTACTAGAAGTTAGAACGCGATAATATGTGGACTTGCATACGACTTAGATAAATTATGTTTTAAACTGTGATGAAATATAGATCCATCCCACTATTTGACAACAACATAAAATAAATTAAGCAAAGACAAGTCACACGAGAAACAATCAAGTTTGGACTCAAGAATAAAGTCTATTACAAGATTAAAAAGAGAAATCTAAATCATACAAGAGGAAAAATATCTAATATGTTGTTAGTTGCCACTCAAGATCGTTGGAATACCTTGGCTATTTAAGACGTTGAAACTAATTTAATTTTAACATGAGTAGCAGAATATGTTTGGGAGTTGGGACTTCGGTTATTAATTACATGTCGGCTTGTAGCCGTTTCAATATTCCCAAGGATCGAGGAAAAAATTTAATGCTTTATTATTTTTAAACTTATTATATGAATTTATCTGTACGGTTGATATTTTTTTGATATATATTTACAAAAATAATAACTTATCCTAATTATTTGGTATTCTATTAGAACCTACACTTTTATTAAAAGAAACCGCATAATCAGTTCGATACAGTTTAGTCAGCTTTCAAAGATTCATTGACACCCCTAATTAAACCAATGGAATTCCTAGAATTCTTTATCGTAGATCCTGGATATTTTACCTGAGATACTGCAGTTATTAGTATTATTCTACTATTTATTGCTTTAGATGCTCATACGATGAGTTTTTAGTGAGGAAATAGAATTATTCCATTTTAAGTTGGCAAGGAAAGAATATCCCCTTCCCCACACCGTATACAGAATACCAAAAGGACCACTATATAAAGAGCCCAACAAGACGGAAAGAACGCCGAGCTTGGTAACGCAAGCTTGTAACCCAAGTGGGGGCATTAAGGTGATGGGACACTATTAATAAAGCCTTTCCACGGGTTCGGGTTGGGCCAGCAATGGTTATTGGGTGTCTATGCAGGAGTAATACTTGCATGTCACCTCCCTCCTAAGAGGTGACTCCGCGGAGGAGGGTGTGCTTTAGTAGCACCACCGTATTGCTGTCTTCTCAGAGCAGCGCTTCTTCTTCTGGTTGGCAACGTCTGAAAAGTCCTCCTTGCTGTCACCACCATAATCTGAACGGTTTGTCATACTTTGAACCATCACCTTTTACGAATTTTTTCCTCTCCATGTGGCATATTTTTATCGCACAAAACATTGGAAGTTTCTTATGTTATTTTTTGGTGCTCTCTTTTGGAAAAAGGTATATAACTAAAATAACATTCGTAACAAACTACAAAACCAAAGCTTCTGCTTGCCACAAATACAAAATGCAATTGGCTTACAAAATTCACACGTTTGTGACAAGAAGGTCACGAGTTCGAGTCGTGGAAATAGTCTCTTGCAGAAATACAACATAATGATGCGTACAATAGTCCCTTGTAGTCCGATCCTTCCCCGGACCCCGTACATTACGGAAGCTTAATATACCGGGCTGCCCTTTTATCGCGACAAAATTTAATCATTAGGAAGTAATCTATTAAATAAGCAATAATTGTGGTCACAAGTTCGAGTCGTGGAAATAGTCTCTTGCAGAAATACAACATAATGATGCGTACAATAGTCCCTTGTAGTCCGATCCTTCCCCGGACCCCGTACATTACGGAAGCTTAATATACCGGGCTGCCCTTTTATCGCGACAAAATTTAATCATTAGGAAGTAATCTATTAAATAAGCAATAATTGTGGTCACAAGTTCGAGTCGTGGAAATAGCCCCTTGCAGAAATACAATATAAGGATGCGTACAATAGTCCCTTGTAGTCCGATCCTTCCCCGGACCCCGTACATTACGGAAGCTTAATACACCGGGCTACCCTTTTATCGCGACAAAATTTAATCATTAGGAAGTAATCTATTAAATAAGCAATAATCTATTCTTCTTTCTAGCATCTCCAATCTTTTCTCAAAAGTCAATACTCCAACATGCATAGTCATCAACTTGTGCAACCTTAGCACAAGATTGTAGTAATGCTCCCATAAATTTCCTATAGAAATATTAGCTCTAACATAATTATTTCAGTGAGTCAAAAGCCACTAAAAGAATATAAAACTCACATTCCAAAGCATTCCTTTAAGCTTGGAATCGCTTGAGAATGATCTCATATGTTCACTTACAATTTGAATAGAAGAAAATATCTCTGTATTAGGTGAGTTCTCAAATTGCTCCTAAACTTAATCCCAACATTTCACAAGAAGTTTCAATTGTCTTCAGAATATAGTGGAAGTTGTGTGTTCTCATGGACAGACAATTTAATAGTACATTCGGACATGAACCAACAAAAGTCGCAAAATTGAAAAAGACAAAAGCTAAGAAGAGCTCGAAATCCATTTAACAGAGAAGACAGAACGAGATCGATGACTAACTTAATTTGGATCTTTGGTTGAACAGATATTATGTAGATAAATCATAGTAAAGCTTTTGTTCCACAATGGATGAACTCTTGAACTTTCAGTGTCGTTTAAGATAAAATTCTAGACACATTTTTTTAAACTTAAATTATAGGAAAACTCTTTGCTTGTTTTTTCATGTTTAGTGAAATTAGACTCGTGTCCTAGTTCTCCTATATTCTTTAGTTTTTCTCTCGAATCAAATACAGATTTTAGGCTGTCAAAATTTAGAAGGAATAGAATTATTCCAATTAATAGCTGTTTGCCGAATTTTCAAAAATGTGCTTATTTTAAAAAGGCGAAACACCTTACCACCCCCTAAACTTATCACGGATTATTAGTTACAGCCTTAAACTATTCGTGGTCTTAATTACCCCTCTTAACTAGGCCTTTTGAGACCCATTACCCCCTTGGATGCTGATGTAGCAAATTGTGTGGGTGCACTCGTCTGCCACGTGGATTTTATGTATATGTGGTTTTTTTTTGAAAAATAAAATATATTTTTACCTTTTAAGTATGTTACTTTTTTAGATAATTTTTTCCGAATACACTTTATAATAAAACTTGGATAGAACTACATTAATTAGACTAAGTTTTTTTATTTGGCTAAAAATAATAAAGTTTTAGTTAATCTTTTTTTGGAATTTGACCTGAAAATAAAGATTTATACAATTGAAATAAATAGTCAATTCATCTAAAAAGTTATAAAAATACATAGTTTGAAATTAATTATTTTGGCTATAATTTTTTATATAGCTCTAAATTATGGTGCTCTAAAAATATAGGCGTAATGGCTTCCTGACCACTTAAACTTGTAAGACTTTTGAAAGCCGATGCACAAACTTTGGACTTTCCCATTTGAACACTCAAACTCGTGAAACTCTTAACTAATAAACACATTTGACCCTTGACCCTACGCGCGTGTATTACACATTCACAGACGTGTCCATCCAGTCAGCAAATGACCAATGGGATTGTTACATGTCAAGGGCGCGAAAACAAACCCCATGGCTGTGCTGGAATAAATTTATTAATTTCTACTTTTTCTTCTATTTCCCTTATTTTCTTCTTTACCATAGCTGTATTGGAATAAATTTTCCCACCCAGCCACCATTTTCAATGGTGAAAGTTGTGATCTGATCCATTAAAAGTGAGACTTCCCAATGTCGAAAAAATCAAAATGGATAAATATCAAGAAGAAAGAAAAAATAATCACTGAAACCCAATGTCAAAATACAAGAAAAATCACTACAACTTCAAGAAAAATTACTCTTCTCTTCTTCAAAACATTTGCTAGCCTTTTGTAAAATCAGAAACAATGGGTACGATTGGACCCCATGAATGCAATGAAACCTGATGTCCTTTTTGCGCTTTTGTTTTGTTTTTCCAGCGAAAGTTACGCCCAAAATCACATTTGTATCTGATATATTTTGAGCTCGATTGTTGACAGTTTTATTCTCTCTGTTGAAATTAGAAGGAGCATACACAAGAAAAAAAATGGTGAAGAAAAAAAAATTCTTGACTTCATTAATATAGTAGAACAGTGGAGAGGACAAAGGGTAAAAGAACAATAAAATGGGAATAGAACTAATTCGGAAGAAGATGTAAACGAAAAATTGGACAGACGGGAATGGGGAAAACGACGAAGGGAGAGAGGTAGGTTGAAAGTTTTTTTTTTCTTCTTTTTTGGTTTTCCTTATAGTTTCTGTTTATTTTTTTGATTTTACAATCTTTTTAATGAATAGTAACAAATGCACGCGCCATTTGAATGTGACTTGTACACACTATGTCCATGTAAGATAAGCTACCGCCACATAAGCATAGTCAATGGTCAAAGGTATTTGTTAGTTATAGGTTTCACGAGTTTGAGTGAATAAATGGGAAAGACGAAAGTTTGTGTATCGGCTTTCAAAACCCCTACAAGTCTAAGTGGTCAGGAAACCATTTCGCCAAATATATANATAAAAAGAGTGTACAATTGCAAAAAATAACTTACTCTATGGATACAATTTTATAGCAATAAAAAAAAGGGCAGCCCGGTACACTAAGCTCCCGCTATGCGCGTGGTCTGG